AACAACAACAACAACAACAAGCATAGATAGTAATGATGACAACAATAATAACATAACAGCAACAATGATAATGACAAGATAATTGTTTTTTCTTTTCCTTGCTTGATAAGCTGCAGCAGAATCTCCGAACTTCTCTGAGCCCTGTCGAGCGGTTTGCTCCATTCTCCAAATTCGCGAACTCTAATTACCACAGTTTTAAGGGGTCTACCTGCTGATTAGGGGGGTACTGGCTGCTAAACTGTAGGTAAAGAGAGTTACAGGTAGTCGCCGTCGAACGGATACCTCCGGTAACTCAACTCTGCCAGTGTCTTCTGAACAGTCAGTCCATGTCGGAGTCTCCAGCCGAAGTGGCATGCTCCCCTTCCAACATGTTTGGTTCTCTTCCAAAATCTTGCAATCAAAGTGTCCTTCCTTCGAACTCTCTGCAACGCCTCAGCTTCTGCAATCCCAATGGCGAGCTCTGCTTCTTAGCCTCGGCGCTGCTGTGAGAGGTTGGCGGCCATGGAAGACCACAGTGTGCTGGTGGACTGCATCAGCCCCCCAGCTTCAGTGCAATGTTCAAGCTCCGGCTACTGCATGCCGTGCTAAGCTGTTGTGGCGTACCAAGCCTGCATCATGAGCCAAGCCCTGGAAATACCGGTGGAAGCAGCAGTCGGAAATGTCTGTCAAACTCGAAATCAGAGATCCCTTCTACCTTCTTCTTAGGGTTCTTGTTGGGGAATGTAGTTTCAGTTGCCATAGTAAAGAAATGACAGTACATATTGACTATAGATCCCTATTATGATAGCTTAAATCTAGGACATTTTCAGGTGGGTAGTTACCATGATAGGAGCCTTATAGAAGGTCTATGTGCCTTACAGAAGCCTTATAGAAGCCCTATATGCCCTAAACTCCCCACCTGTAGTTTCCTTTAATTAAAACTTCAATTCCCAACGCAGATCTTGGTGCCCAAGACATGCTCCGCGACCCAGGAAGAGCTGTGGTATGGCCTGCCCACACTGTAGGGTTTCAAGTCATACAAACCAGGGGCCTCAATAATTACCTATATTATTTTGGGGGTTCCCTATTTTGATTAGACTATAAGTTACCTATATTGTTTTGGGGGTTCCTTATTTTGATTATACTATAAAGTTACCTATATTTTTTTGGGGTCCCTTATTTTGATTATTTATACTATAAAGGACCCCAGACCCTATGCTAATTATTAAGACCCCATATAGAGCCAGGCTTAAGTTTATTGCTTTAGGGTTTAGAGTTTAGGGTTTAGGGTCTGGTTTTGAGTTTGGGGTTTAGGGTTTAGGTTAAAGCCGAAGTCCTTCAGCCTTTTTCCGTGGACCCGTGAGCCCTGAATCCGCACCACCGCCAGAGCTGCCCAGTCTAGGACATTTTTCAGGTGGGTAGTTTCCATGATAGGAGCCTTATAGAAGGTCTATGTGCCTCATAGAAGCCTCATAGAAGCCCTATATACCCTAAACTCCCCACCTAAACCCTAAACCCTAAACCCTAAACCCTAAACCCTAAACCCTAATATACCCTAAACCCTAATATACCCTAAACGCCCCACCTCTAGTTTCCTTTAACCTAGGCTACAACTCGCTCCTCGCGTCCCTGGCCTCGGATGGCTGCTGGCGCTGGGCTCTTTCCCGTGCTCGGCGCATGTCGGGGCACCCAGGAGGGGTTCGGGGGTTTAGGGGTTTAGGGGTTGAGGGTTTAGGGGTGTAGGGGTTGAGGGGTTTAGGGGTTAAGGGTTTAGGGTTTAGGGTTTAGGGTTTAGGGTTTCAAGGC